ATAACTGGTCTGTGTGTGTAAACAAGTAGGAAGAGACGTGAGTAAAGAACACTGTGATGGAAAGATCTAAGGGTCACAGATGAAAGTTGCTCTCCAGGCTCCCTTGATGTAACTTCTCTGTGCCTCAAGGACAGCTTCACGGCATGAGAAAGATAGGGCTAGCCAGGGAATACAGGTCTCTCTAACTGTTTCCTTCTTTGCTATATCTTGTCCTTCCCTGCAGTGATGATGACTTTGACATGTCCAGATATTCTTCCTCGGGATACTCATCAGCTGAGGTGAGTTATACTGTCTCCTGCCATCCGTGCCATGAATGCTAATAGTAGAGCAGCCAGAAACGGCTTAGAGTGGCCATGTACTGCCAGAAACGGCTACACAATGAATTTACCAGTGGTTTAGACTCTGTGAGTCTGGAAGGGGCCGTGGCAGAAACTGTGTCATGTTTGTTTCTTCCCTGGTGATCCAGTTGGCTCCATCCCCACGCTGCAATGGCACAGAGATCTGGCCGTCGGCTGTTTTCACAGCTACTTTTGGCTTCACTCAAGCTTTTCCCAGTTCTGCTTAGTCCTGCAGCGTTGGCCCATGTGGTGCAAAAGCATCAACTTGTCTGTCGCACCAGCTCAGGAAACGTATGCTTGCCAAGGACACAAATAAAGGATCTGAGGGTGTGCTGTGATTTCCAGTTCTTGGGGCGGTCAGGGTCACCCAGTGCGTGTTTACTTGGAGCAGGCAGAAATTCCAGGGAGGACTTGCAGTTACGAACTCTTGCCCTTTCAAAGAGAAAAGGCAGCAAGCTCAGGCTTGTTAATCCCTCTGCATTGTTTCTGAATATATTCCCAAGCTCTGTCCTGAATTAGTTGCTCAGCCTCTGGCTACTGCTTCTGCAGGATCTGATTTTACGTCCAGGGTGCTGAGCAGCCATTCTGCACACAAGTGTCGGGGAACTCTTCCCCCTTGTATCCTTTCCTTGGGCAAAATACATTTGAAACACAGAGAAATGGCCAAGAGCAGGGACTAGATCAAATGATCTGGGCCATCTCTGGACCTTGATGAAATGTTGTTCACCCAGAACTGGTTAGACAGCACTTGAATCTGAAAATACAAAGAGCCAAGAGGCTCTACCACCTTTCAACTGCTATAGTGAGCCCCAGACTGAGAGGAGGGACTGCCCAGCTGCCAGTCAGTTTATTAACATTATTATTACATTACTTTAATTGAGGGCTTGTCTTCATGGAAAGATTATTCCAGAATAAAATAGTGTATCGACTTGCTACTCTGCAATATCTTACTGTAGATATTCCTATTCTAGAAAAAGCTAGAACAGAAGGCAGCCCTCACCTGTGTTCAAAAACTGGGACTCTTTCATTAGTGGGGCAGCTGCCCCATGGGGAAATATGTTCCTCTTTCATCTTCCAACCGTCAGAAGTAAGAAGTCTCAAGTGTTTGACTGTTTGTCTCTTTGTCTGTAGCAGATCAACCAAGACTTGAACATCCAGCTGCTAAAGGATGGGTACCGGTTAGATGAGATCCCAGATGACGAGGACCTCGACCTAATCCCCCCTAAATCGGTCAACCCTACATGCATGTGTTGCCAAGCCACCTCCTCCACCGCCTGTCACATCCAGTAGTGAGGCCGGCAGGCTGTGATCAGTGCTTTCCACTATAACTGTAAAACTTAACAGCCATTGCTTCCTCCTATGGTAGGACGTGCACCTCTTTGTGTTCATGGAGCCAGGAGAAACCAAAAAATTCATTTTATGATTGGTTGATAAGTTATTTTAAACTATGATTAAACAAAAGAGAAGTTGCTCAAAGTGCCAGGCAGTGCCTGGCAGAACTGACTGGTCTGGAGAGCGAATGCAGAGGGGTCCAGAGATACCTCCTTGGTTTGTGTAGGCACTGGGGATGTTTTGTAAGGTGTCTGTTCCAGAATGGAAAGGGTCAGATGGGGCTGCAGGTAATCCTGCCCACCGAAACCAATCCATCTGCGAGATCGGGGGTGAGTCTAGGTGTCGGGGTTTTACCAGTGAGAGGAGGTCAGTTCTTAATTCATTCACTAAATCTGTTTCATTTGCATAACCAAAATGATACTGCAGCTGGGGCACAGGAATGGGAACGGAGCAGGGCATCCTTTCTTATGGCAAGGCTCGCCAGGACTAGCATAGTTCATTCACTTGCGAAGAAGACAAATAGGTGGCATTTCACTGCGAGTCAGTAATAGCTAGAGCTGTTGTGTCACATATCCAATGCAATCTACCCTTAGCTCCACATTAAATTATCACCAAACACATCAGATTTGATCTGCAATCGCACTTCAGGGATTCAGTCTTTGCCCAAGAATACCATAGTCCTGAGTTCAGTCCAGTCACATATACTGACTTCAGCCTATACTTAATTCCTGTGAGACCCATCTGCTTCCAAAAATCTTAAACTTTGTTCAAGAAAAAATGAGTCCTGCACAAGACAGGACTAGAGCTGTACAGTCTGAAGGTCAGTGCCGGAAAAGCTAGTTGAAGAAAGCACATTTTTACAGTGCTCAACTGTTGATACTCTCCTGACACTGTGTCTCTTGGTGCCTGTGGAAGTGATTTGTTAACACTGAAGGCATCTGTGTGGTGGTTTCAGACTTTAGGGGAGTTTTCAGCAGCAGCATGATTATGAACAGCTTCAGCTGAAAAAAACCCATGAGAGGAAACTACTGTTTATCCCATCTCTGCCCATTTGTGAACCAGGCTTGGTCTGTGTTAGTGCTGTCCCATGTCAGGAGCAATTGTGTTTATTTGGTGCTGGAATAGTCCAGAAACCTGGCATTACATTAGGTTGCTGGACTGAATTGCCAGTTCACCAGCAGATTGTTTTGAATGCAAAATCATTTCTGGAATTAGGAAATGTTTCCTCTCCCTGGCCTGTCTTAAACTGCTGGCTTCAGCATATGCAGGGCTCAGGCGAGGGATGGGCTGGCATTTTTCTTGGTGTTGAAATCTTTTGCCACAGGCACGACTGTGTGTTTTCCTGCCCTGCCAGGAGGAAGGACCACCTGCCTTGGGTCATCACTTGCTTTATAGCCTGGGGAAGGGAAAAAGCAAGGGCAATTCCGAGCTTCCCATCAGAATTCCTGAGTCACAAGGCAGAGCCTGAGCTCCACCCTGACAGACAGATCCCCCATCTGAAATCTGCATGAAGTGAGCTGAGTCTTTAAGAAGTCCTCTTCATGATTAGGAGGAGATTTATGTAACATCCTGGGGTTTCATTCTGTGCAGTGCAAAGCATGATACCATCCACAGCGTGAGCAAAAGAGCACGCACACAAGATTCCTGGGCTTTACTATTCACTAGCTGGTATGGGCAACTGTTAAAGCCACGTTTGCCCCCCTCCCTAAAGCAGCGCGCTGCCACCCTGGCTCCAGGCCATAGAAAGAGGACTCAGTGGTGCTGTTTACTGAGCATCCCTGCCTCCTGCATCCCAGCAGAAGCGCTGGTTAACTTGCCAGCTCCTCTAGGAAGAGTGTTCCTCAAGTGAATTCCTCCCCGCCTTTCTCATCACCTGGTAATGCTGAGGGGGAATATTTCCAAAATGTTTCTAAAGAAGCACAAAGCATCAGGTCTCTATTTCTTTGTTTCTTCCTTCGTGTGCCTGCTTTCCTCTCCAGTGCTAGCTCATGTTGAGATAAGCAAGTTGTCTGGAGGTGGGGGAAGATCTCTGACAACATTGTGTAGAGAGAAAAGATAAAAGGGAAAAAACATTCCTTAAGGAGTCTTTTTTTTTAATGGGGAGTGTAGTCAAAACCTAACAGAAATACCACGGTCAAACCAAATCCTATAGGACATGACTAAGTCTCTTTAAATCTTCACTCTTCTGAAGAGGGACTTTGCAGTTCGGCATTGGTATCATGCAAGGTCTTCGTCACATTTATCCTCCTGGGTCAGTCTCTGTGCCTTCTAGCCGGGCTGCACGCGCTCAGCCTTTCCCACAGCCCTTGCTCAGGAGCTCAGAGCATTTTAGTGCGCCTGCTAGAGCAACAAGCCGTCTGTTTACATGGGTTAGCCATGCAGGTCCCACAGGTCTCCGTCATGCTGCCATCATGTTCGGTCTAAGCCAGAATGAGGCTTGCTGACACTGTATCTCCCAGTGTTAACGCCTCTCCTCTGAAGGACAGACCTTCCCTGATAACCACTGCCCCATGGCACCACGACCAAGTCCTTTTATTGCCGCTGTTGCTGGTTTTTGCCTGCTATGTACCTGAGGCATTCCTCAACCCTGCAACCCTGCAACTGCCCTCAGCCCTTTGCATTGTGTGATGTGCATCTGCTTCTAGCACAGCCTTTTAGGGAGGGAGGGAGATGAATTTAAAAGTTATACCCAGTGCTTCCTCCAAATACAGACCGAAGCATAAGCCAAGTGTTTTTCCCTGTGCACAGGAGTTGCTTGCACAAATAGCTGGTTTGGCATGACAGTACAGGACCATAAAATGGCAATTTTTTGGCTTCTCCTCTCTATGCTTTGTGTTCATATATTTTATTAGGGGAATAAAGTAGAAAGGGTGGGGAAAAGTAGTTAGTCATTGTCAGGAAGGCTGAATGGATTAAGGCAATGCACATGTGGCTATCATAGAAAATTGAACACTAACCCTTCTGAACTGCAGCCCCTTAAGCAGGTTATGACATGTTTGTTGGCTCGTTATGGAATACAGGGGACAGCCCATCAGTATGTATTAACGGCAGATTGGGCTGGCTTTCCCTATTTGGTCTCATGTTCAGACCTTTGCTTCAGCCAGAAGGTTTTCCTTGTGCCCTCATTGGAGGTTATGCTGTGGTGACTTCCCAGGAAAGTGTATAGATACCTGGCCGTTCTGGCACTGCTCTCCTTAGACCAGTCTCTGCCACCATGGCCTGGAGAAGGCAAAAGCAAAGAGCACGGACCCTGACTCTCTGTCGCAGCATTATAAAGCTCTAAAATGTGCAGAGCTGATGAGCACTCTCCTAAATGCAGATTGCATGCAAGAAAGCAAATTGTTCCTTGTTCCAGCCTTTGCATCAAACCAGATGGTCTTCTCAGGCCCCATTTTCAGTCCAAAGTTGTACAGAATACCAAGGGGAGGAGCACCGTGGAGTATGAAAGGCTGCATCACTATCCATCTAAATTACCATGCAAATAGGATTTATGGATATTGATGCTGGTGCCTCCACAAAGGAATTTGCATTTGATGCCTCCTAAAGCCAGACTGGCTTTTTGTTAGGACTTTATGTAATTTTAGTTACCAAATTACCTGAGTTTAAGCAAGTCCTTTCCTTTTATCAGATGTTAATTTTGCCCTTTAATGTGAGCTGGCTTTGAACTCCAGGGTTTCAGCACTCAACTCTGTCTCTCCAGTCTGCAAACTCCCCATTTCCAGATGTCTGTGTGAGGAGAAACATCCTCCTAGTGTTGAGGAAGGTCTTTAAATAGCATAGTCTAGTTTGCTTTTCTGTTGGTTGTATAATAATAAACTTTGGCTGAAAGGAGGCTGATGTCCAGGCGACCATCTGGAAGGCTCATTTGATGTCTTATCAGACATATCTTGAAGCCAACCCTTGGAAGAGCTACTGGATCATATCTGACGTTGCTGCATGTCTACCCCCAACATGTATGCTTGGCCATTGGGTCTGCTGTGCTGTTCTGGCTGTCTTGCCTGCAGATGCCTTGCAACTGCAAAAGCAGGTGGCCAAGCCTGCTGCATGGACTTTGAAAGGGACTTCAGGACGCTCCCCCATGGACAGGATGGACTCAGCTGCTTCTGGTTTGTCTCTCCAGCTCCTTTCCCAAAAGGAGGCATCTGTTCCACTCAGCTGTGTGCTGGCTGACACGTTGGTCTGCGATCCTGAGCAGAATCCTTTCCTCTCCATGCAGAGTCTGTGTCCTCGGGCTGGCTTGCAAGCTGTACAACGGCATGCAGGAGGCTTGGAAAGTACAGCGCCCTGTATGTAACTCAACAGAAACATGAAGATGCTTTTGAAGAAAGGAAGAACCCAGCTGGGCACCAGATGGAACAACAGGAAAAGGAAAGCAAGCACTAACTAGAAAGGTTGCCAAGTGCTGTCTTAGGCTAGGGCAGATCCCAGTTGTCCGAGTTAATCTCTCTCAGTACAGTGCTGATACCAGGAGGGAGCAAAGCTCGCTTTCAGATGCACACACCAGGTGTTCCCAAGCTGGCACTGCAGCCAAATACTACTGTGGAGAGTCTGCTGGACTTAGAGCACAGAAGTGAGATCTGGGGTCCCTTGCTGCTGTTGGCACATGGTACGCATTTGCTCTGACCTCAGACAAATCACATCCCCTCCTGATGTCCATTCCCTTCTGCAGCACAGGGGAGAAACCTGCCTTGCCAACCACCCTGCACGGATGTTGCCAAGTTTGTGGCGGGCACCATTGATAGGATAGTTCTGCAAGCAAGATGCAAAAAGCATGCTATAGAAATTTTATGCATATTTTCAAAGTACTCTGCCTTCCCTCTGTTTACCAGCTTCTGATGTTGCTTGCACGTGCCAGAAGGCTGCGGGGTGGAGGTTAGTAGAGAGATTAAACAGCTTTGGGGGAAGATGTTTGGCAAGGATGTGTTTCCCAGTTATTTGTCAGCTGGCTCTCGCACAAC